AGTTATTTCTGATGCAAGTTCTTGGGGTTATACAAATGAGTTCACAAAGAACTGGAGTACGTCTGTAATTGTATTTGTACCCTAATATACCAGTATTGTAAACCCTTATTCACTAAAGCAGAGAAAACTTCCGTAACTATAGATCTAAAGCCCGCAGAACGTGAACTTTAGAGCGTCACAAGCTGCTAATAGAAGACGCCATTAGACGTCATTGTTACTTAAAATAACTGTGGATTTTTATGGTAATTTTCATGACTTGGTGTTAAATCAATAATTATTACTGAAAACTACATAACAATCTACCACCGTCCAATGAGTAGCAAATAAAATCACCACTAAGCACTTTTATCGTAAAAAAAATTAACAACCTAAAATTCTATTACCAATAAATGCTATCTAATTGTTATAATGTGCATATTTTGCGCGTGAAGAATTTCAATAAAACTTATACATATATTCACAGTAACCTGGAACTCGCACTAATATTTCACTCCTTCTTTGCCAGATTATTGTGAATATATGTATGAGTTTTATTATAGTAATATGGAAACACAGAAACAATACTGTATATTATCTTGTCATTTTTTATACGTGACTCTTTCACATTCTAGAGAAAAAAATTCTAGATTAATTAAAGGTTGTAAATGTAAAATGTATGTTTACACACTAAAAAGGTACAAAGGTGTATAAATGGAAACAAAGTTGTACAGTGACACTGCAATAGCTTCTTAAACAAAGGAAGTGAATTTCTTCATTTTTAAAGAGCTATTATATCGCCACATTAAAACGTTTGAACGGCCACTATAGAATACTTGTAGAGTTATAAGCTGTATAATTTGTGCCCAATTTGAATGTACAAAAATTTTGTAGCCGCTTATAATAATACTGTGTGAGCTTCTCTTTACAGCTGAAGCCGTCGCCAGTTTCCATTAAACGGCTGTTATATCGCCATTTATACAGCTAGTGTGCTAGTTGGGAGGAATGCTATTTACAAATTTGCGATGTTTAAGAATTTTTTGTTGACGATATTATTCAATATTTTTTTACGGTGTGTAGTATATAAGTTTACTGTTTATAACTGTTTGCACCATTTTTATTTACACGATTTTTTAATTTCTCAGGTAACTCAAAATTTACGATAACTCAAAAGTACATTTGATTTGACTACTAAATTATTTGACTAGGTTTTAGAATAACTAAGATGCTGTGTGTCTGCTTCAGCTAACGATGTCACGGTCTATCTACGAGTATAGTGTCAAATAAATGATGTTAAAGCTGAGTCTAAGATCGTGAACCTACTAAATTTAACAAGCCTACAAGGTTGTCTCCTTTCGAAACGCAGACCTATAACAGCAGTACTAAATCGAGGTTTTATAAATGCGTCAATTTAGGTCTCTTTAAACAAACGTCAAGGTTCTACTTCAGCGGCCGCGCAATTATATTCGTGTCTTATTTGTGTCATTTTCTAAATATTGTTGATGCGATGCATTTGTAGATTGCATTTGTATAAATTTAGGGAATCATTGATATGTAGTTAGTATCTTTAATATATTTTCAAATGAATACAGAAAGTAAAAGTAGGGTCGCCGAAGCGTAGATTTTTGGATTTACTCGAGCGCGGCAGGATAACAAATGGCCGCACCTTATGAAGTACAACACCATATCCGACCACCATGGCCGAACGTCTAGAGCAGCAAAAAACAAATTTCAACAAACGTCCATGACTTTGGTATCGTCTAAATTGTCGACGATATTTCGACTTCGATATTACCAAAAAAAACTCTAATGTAGATTTTTTATCAAAATTCTTTTTGCTTGCTGTTGTACTCTTCGTTGCATCATTTTGTGATCGATCTACTTAAAAAGTGAAAGAAACATTATTTTTTATGTACTCGTATATAGACTGCATTGTTTGTACCCTAATTATATTCCATTAGTTCTCTGCTTCTGAAGCACTTTTACAATATTTTTATATGACATATAACTTCCACTTCTTTATAATCCTTAGTCCAATCAGATAAGAGGCCCTATGGTGTATGAAGGTCCACTGGGCACTATGTTCTTGATAAGAGGTCGAATAAGTCCTATCGTGTAGGTAAGGTCCAATTATGAAGGTCCAGCGTGTACAAGATCTCCTCAGCAGGCTCTTAAAGTCCTGTGTACATATGTCTTTAATAAAGATAATGTGTCTCGCAATACAAAAAGAAAAAATAAACAGAAACCTTAAATATAAGATCCCATAACATAAAATTACATGCCACTCACCAAATGTTACATGAACAAATTATCGTTCGTTAGGAAGTGAAGTTAAATAATATTTACTGCGTCCATTGAATGCACGAGACTTGATGCACGCTCGCACCAGGGCCGAATTTAGAGGCGTGGAGGCCCTAGAGTAAGCAATTTTAAAAACTAGAACCCTGAGCAACTTACGATTTGCATCCCCCGGTTGGTGACACGTTGAAATATAGTTTTTTTTAAGTCGTATAATAATTCTTTATTAGAGTATTTGTTATTATTTTATTACAGTATTTGTATAATCTGCTTCTCTCTATACATCAACAACATTAACTAAAGGTCACTTAACTAATTATGCCTATAATTTTAATATATTTTTTAAGCATGTAACTCGATGTTTAAATCTAAAGAAAATATTACTAGAACAAAATCGACGCGCACTAGGCAGCAGACGGGACTCGAACCCGCACACTTCGCTATCTGGGCGAATGCACTGACCAATTAAAGTCTGCTGCCTGGTCCGCGTGATTTTTTTTCTAGTAATATTTAATTATGACTAGTTTTTATCTACCAGGGGGCACCCTGGCACTGCGCTGCCTTTAATCCGGCCCTGGCCCTCGCTGTTAACATTAATACTAGTGTAGTGGACACATCGAATAGGCAATAATTATAGCAAAGGATATGTAATAGGGACAAGGTATTTCCGCCCTTAAAGCCTTATTGGTAATACCTATCTATCGTGTATAGGCATAATCATTTGTTTTCATGTTCTTGGACATTTGTAAAAAAAATCGAGCTATGTTTATTTACGTTTCCAGCTAAATATAACCACAAAGTTTAGTTTAATAGAAACTGGCCAAATGCGAGGTCCAATTCACACACGAAACGTTCCGTATCATAATCATTCAATATTAAAAAAAAAACTAGATCGGGCAAAACAAGTACTACATTGGACACCTACTTATTTATTTACCTTTCCTGTTTTTGTTATTCGTTGTGATAGCAGTAATCGCGTTCTGTGAAAAGGACGACACATATAATACATTTACTTGGATTTTGAATCCAATCAATCCGAATGTGAAAATGCGCGGAAACCGTTCAGAACGATAGCCCAGTAAGTGCTACGAAATAGGAAAAAGAAAAATTCCATTTTCTTTATTTAAAAAATATGCCATTATAACGGTCGAGTCGCTTCCAGAAAAAATATTGCAAATTACGATTTGTTCTTATTATTTGTTATTATAGCAGAAACGCAGTAACATGCTGACAGAAACATCAACAATTATTGCGTGTAATTAACCTACTGACTGACGAAGCAATAAGTTTCCTTTGTCCCTTTAGGTATGGCTCTAAAAATGTAGTTTTTAACGACTTAATAGTTAAACTTATTTACTTTTAACCATTAAATAGTTTTAAGTATTTGTTAAAAGGTCAAATATGGTTATTTGCGGTATTTCAATATTTTTTAGTTACTGAAATATCACCACAAACTTTAATGAGACACTTTAACTTGAAGTAAGTTAAAGAGCTGTCCTTAAACTAATTAGTACACCTAAAAGCAACGGAATCGGGCCTGTTAAAAGTTCTTGTTTTGTATTTTTTTATGAATTGGAACTTCTTGTACCATGGTGTATTTAAATTTGACTTTATCGTTTAAATGACCCGAAAAAAATAGTTAATGAATACAAAAAAAAGACAACTGCCAATGTAACCTATCCTTTAGGTGTGCAATTGTATTTTTTGGTGATCATTTACAATTTTTTGTAGATCATTTTCATTATTTACCTTTAAATTTGATTCAAGATACAAAATTCTTGATCTATAAGAGCAGCCATACACAGCACAGCTTGAAGAAGTCAAGGTGGACTGCTTTAAGCTATAACTGCATAGTGAACATCAGTCTTCTACGTACACACACACACGGAACCACTCGAGCAGTTGCGAGTGCTTCGGGCAGTTGGCAGCGCAGTAAAATGGTAGCATCAAGCTGTTGACTCTAACTACAAGAGCGACCCGTGTATGTTGAGCATTTGTTAATTGCTCGAGCAGTCCTTGTATGGCTCTAAAACGGTTTAACCTTTTTTTTTGTCACTCACACAATTACCCTAGTCCCAAAGTAAGCACTGAAAGGCTTGCGTTATGGGATACTAGGGTAACGGATACATATACTGATACATTTATCAGTTAATTTTATGTAGAAATACATAATATACAGTCGAGACCAATGAATCCGTGTCACTTAAAGAATCCTAAAAATCTCGCAAACTAAGAATGCTAGCTTTTGTGAAATAAATTGTAATTAATAGACAATGAAATACTCCTTAAATGAAGATATTAAAACTCCTTAATTATTGTAAAGTTATATCATAAAAAAATCAAATTTGAAAAAGGGAGGCTTAGAAGATAAAACATTAGGTACAAATTGCTCGCATTCCTCATACTAATATTTGCTTTATCGGTTTTCGAACCCGCGACCTCACGATTAGGCGACACCTTGAAACATGTACATGCCACTCGACAACGGAGATCGTCAAAAAAAATTGATTCTAGCACGTTGGTTCAAGTAGATCTGACCTGAGTACCAGCCCCCTAAAACGTGATTCTTCACTGAACGCTGAAATACATATCTTATATATATATATATCCCGTCCGCTGCCTGGTCTGCGTGGATTTTTATCTAGTAAAACTTTTCTTTAGATTTAAATATCTAGCAGATAAATGCTTAAAAAAAAACATAAATATATATCTTCCTTTTGTTACAGCGGACTACTTCCCACAATGCAAGAGATCCGACCCAAAGATCGAGAAATGTGTTCTGGACGCGATAGAGGCAATGAGACCTCAACTGAAGGCTGGCATTCCTGAAGTCAACATACCGGCATTGGACCCATTCACTGTTCCCACCCTTAAGCTGGACAGGACAGCACCCAACCTGCGCTTGAAAGCGACAGTCAGACACGCCAAAGCTTACGGAGGATCGGACTTCAAGATTGAGAAATTGAAGTAAGTTTTTTAATGCAAAATGTTTAGAAGACTTGGCCCACCTAATGATAAGATGTCACCTTAGCCTATAGAGTTTCCATACCAGCTAGTTGTACTCACGCGCAGACACCCTGTCAATCATCTACAGAAACACACCCCCACTGAACGGTACCGTAGTTTTAGTAGTACTATTTCACGCATGTCTACAATAATATATATTTTTATTAACAACTAGTGGCCCGCCCTCGCTTCGCTTCGGTGTAGAGCTGTAGTGTAAACTATAGTTTTTGTTCTCAGGCTTGTGCTATAGACAATGACTTTATTTATATAATTACACGTGTTATTGTGAGTCAACCATATAAGATAGACATATGCTGTTGCGGGATATTTTTTAGACAATTTTATGTAGAATATTTCTGTCATACATGATTTCTATGTAACTTTAACCATTAAGGCTGCACACGCGACGGAAGCTTAAAAAATGGAGTAACTTCTCCCGTTTTCCCAACATTTCCCTTCACTACTCTGCTGCTATTGATTGTAACGTGATGGAAAGTATACTATAACCTGCCCAGGAGTATGAAGAATAATTGTACCAAGTTTCGTTAAAATCCGTCGAGTAATTTTTGTTTCTATAAGGAACATACACACAGACAGACAGACAGACAAAAAATTTACTGATTGCATTTTTGGCATCAGTATCGATCACTAATCACCCCCTGATAGTTATTTTGAAAATATATTTCATGTACAGAATTGACCTCTCTACAGATTTATTATAAGTATAGATAATAAAATCCGACTTCGTGAAAATAAAACTACTAATAGGTAAGATTCTTTTTGTTGGCATCGAATGTGCTAACCACCTGCTCCATGCTCCTCGGTTAAACAGTGTTTTATTGTTATTATTTTTGTTTCCAGGTTAAACTTGAACAACAAATACGCGGCGGAGATTAAGCTCGTGATACCCAAGTTGGTGGTGACCGCGGACTATGATGTGCGTGGCTCCCGGCTGCTCACCCTGGACATCAACGGCAAGGGCAAGCTCAGAGGAAACTTCAGTAAGTACTATTTTGTATAAGTACATAGTAACTTTAGCATTTTTGAAAATCTCTGAGGAACCTAACACTTTTCCGGGATAAAAAGTATACGGTCTCTTTCCAGTTTATTAAGTTGTCTGTGTGTGAATTTATTTAACTATGTGTACTATAATAATATTATAAAGAGAAAAGATTTGATTGTTTGGACTACTGGACCGATTTGAAAGTTTTTTTCACATTTAGAATCCTACATTATCCCTGATGGATATAGAATATATAAAAAAATATATAGGTTTTCGTTTAAAAACTTCGATAGTGGAACTTAACGCATGGAAAAATTAAAAAAAATAAAATCGCATACGCTGCGGAAGTCATTGATAATAGAGCAAAGTGATGTAGTAAAGATTTATAAATGACATTAGTATCTATAAAAAAGTCCGCGATGCCATATTACAACTATTACATATTTGTTTCTTAGGTTTTCACGCACATCACTCATTAAATAAAACTAGTTTTTACGGGTTAATGCACGAAACTTTATTTATTTATTGACGTTTCGTAGCCTTTACAGGCTTCGTCGTCAGAATAAAACTTTTATTCAATTTGTCGAGCTACCTTCGAAAGACTTTTATTGAGCGTTTGGTTATTTCATTGTTCGATTTTTAAGTTTTATTGTCTATGTACGAATTTATTATTTAATTTACATAATAAAATATTTTATTTCAAATTCTTTTTTGTAATTTTGAGTTTATTTATTTGACCCTAACTACCGTAAACTACCACCGGTTCCAAAATTGGGAGACCTTTCTGAGAAGAACCGGCGAAACAAACTCAAGAGAGGCTTTCTATCTCCTTCTTATGTTAAATTATGCAAACAAAAAGAACTAATAGTATCTGATGGTTTCGTGCATTAACCCGTAAAAACTAGTTTTACAACTATTACAGTTATGTTACAACTAGAGGTCCCCTGCGGTTTCACCCGCGTTCATTTCCTTTCAAAATTATCACTTAAACACGAAGAAAATTCTCGCTAAGACACGCCTCGCTTAAACATTTGTGACTAGGAAGAATAAGTATAGTCTAGGCCAAACCAATGTAGCCTGAAGTAACCTTATTCATATTAGGCTCAACAAGTTCAAATAGGATGAATCAGTTTAGCCTAGTCTGTACCAGTTTATCCTACCGCCTAAAGGATGAATTAGTTTGGCCTAGGAAAAACTAGTTTGTCCTAAAATCAGGTTTGGCCGGTAACATATATATTTACATTCTCACACGCTTGAATTAATGTTTACAATAAATATTTTTACACTCATAACCAAAATATTATTTACTCATTGTTTAAATCCACCCGACAGCAAGTAAACTGGGTAACCCGATATTACCTCGGAACTCTGATTTTGAGATTTTCTCATAAAGTATGAAACTTACAACTATCAAAGCTATACTTACAGAAAGTGCGTTTCATAATGATTAAAATTTTATTCTAAAGAACTGTCAACTAGCTATGTTATCAAGTAAGGAACACAATGCTATTTGCTAATTTTGAATAAAGTTGCGACTAACGATCTTTTTAGGGTTCCGTAGCCAAAGGGTAAAGAATGGAACCCTATTGCTGTCACTCTTTCTGTCTCTCTGTCCGTATGTACTTTTTCCATTTAGAGACGGGTCTCTAGATCGTAAATGGAAAAAGTTACAGAACTAGAATTTTGGTATTTTATGGAAAATGCATGCCCAAAGCCAAAATTTAGATAAAATTCAACTAGAATTCCATACATGGAAAGGAGTTTTTTTTTATTTTTCACCCCAGCATGTGATACGTAATTGTCTAAAACTCGTTGAGTAGGATATAAAGATATTTTTTTTTGTTTTTATTTTCAATAACGATGAAATGGGGGCCTGTCAAAGTTGTAAATTAATTAATAGTTTTAGACCATTTTTGTAGTCTATATACAAATCGAATTAAGTTAAGAATGTGAAATTTTGGTATATGGTGACCCATATGCTGACCCTATACTGAAAACGCCGATTCAAAGTGTACTTATGATAGAATGCAAACAAAACAATGACTTTTCCTTTCGCGGGTTGTTGTACGGGACCTTTCGTACCGACTCGCACTTGGCCGGGTTTTATAAAATGAGGATAGTCTGATACTCTTTTTATTATTCTTTAGTTTTTTTCCATAGTTTTCGTAGGTGTGTGTTTTTTTCTATGTTTTTTACTACCGATTAACACAATTGAAAAACGACTCTTCTTTAGAAAACAATATAATTAAATAAATGATTACTCTCAAATAATTCCTATTCATTTTAATAAAACGCACTTTATAAAGGTATAACTTTGATAATTGTAAGTTTTATACTTTCTGAGAAAATCAAATCAGAGTTCCCAGGTAGCTAATTTATTTATTTGCTGTCAAATGTATTATAATTAGTTTCGAAAGTTAAACATTTTTAATGGTTCTAAGTTAAGTTGTAATCACTAGAAACAAAGACAACTGAGATTATAAATACGACTTCAATTACGATTTTTTTGTTATTTAATGTCTACGCGATAACACAATGCTTAGATAACACGTTAGAAATACAAAAAAATACAGCAACCAAGTCAATGGCGCATCATATTGCATGATGGACGAGCAAAATGTAAAAACTTACACGTTGCAACTTGTACTATGCATCTATTTGCTGAATTATATGTTTAACTACGATACCGTACGATCGTAAAAAAAATACTCAAATACTCTAATGTTTTTGCTTTCATACCTTTCATCTTTTTCAATGACTTTTTGCAAATCGCTTTAGAGACCTGATTATTCAAACTTAATTTAATTTTTACAATTCTATGTTATTATACAAATTTTGAGAGAAATTATATTATCTACCTGATAACTTAAATGAAAATAATAATCGGAACGAAGTTTTAACTGTTTATAATTAAGACTATAACGCATGCGTTTCCACTCTTTACTTACTAAAATGTAAACCTATCATGTCACCTACTTACTAAAATTAACTTGTTTTTTTTATTTATAGCTGGAATAACAGTTGTAGCCAAGGGCATCGCCAAGCCAATAGAAAAGGAAGGTGTAATGTACATACAGGCTGAGAAGATAGTCACCAGGGTGAAGATTGGTCATGGGCAGGTCGCATTTGATGATACAGAGCGTCCCGTTGCTGGTAAGAAAAATAAATGACAGAATACTTTAATAAAAAAAAACTCAATAGGTATCTACTAAAGCTCGACATTCTTCTGTTACCTCTTTAAGAAAATGTTAACAGATAGCGGATATAACTATATTGCATTGCTGAATTATTTCTAGTATGATGAGCTCTTGCTCATAGGTCGTTACCAATTATCTGTTGAATTAAAATGGTTATATTTTCATATTATCAACATCCTAATCAGTACTATATTAAATCTTCTCTTTACTTGCACTTTTAAATCTTGTCATAGTTGTCTGTCATTCATAATTGTATTAAAGGTACAAAAGATCATAAACAAATATCTACCATGCAATCAAACAATGAAATGTAATTTGAGTATGCAACCACAACAAAATAACTAATAATTATGGCTATAAAAAACTCATAATGCAAGCCCTAAGATTACAATTTATTGCAAAACTGTGTTGATTATTATTCAACGGTTTTTTGAGAAAATTTATTCCAACCGTGTCGGTAACTTCTTGCAATATCGGCCGTTACGCGTTGTTAGCAATCTCTCAACATCCATAAAATTTATAAGATTTGCTTAAGAGGAAAGTTTAAATGATTAATTCTTACTAATCTTATCTAAATAATAAATATTGTAAATGGTTGCAGACATTTGGGCTTTCTTGATTTCATGCACCTACACTTTAATAAACATTTCACTTATTCCTTCTAAAAACGTTAAGATTATTTAAGGTACTATTTTAAACGGTTAAGCATCAACTAAGTTAATAATTATTAAAATAAAATAAATTTGTTTCAGCTGTCTCTGCTGCCACATTCTTCAATGCCAGTCCGGGTGTCGTCATCGATATCTTAAATCCTCTCATTGACGAGACCAGTGCAGCTGTGTTAAAAGCATTCATCAACAAAGTGCTAGGAGGAATTCCTCTAAGTGAAGTATTAACTGACAAAAAATAATATAAACAAACAAGGGCTCAATACAGTACCTTGGAAGACACCTTCTTCCATGTAATTAAGGTTACCGGTGCAATTTAATGCAACGCCATTATTGATTTTATATTATTGCTTTAAATTGATTTGTACACGTATAACGTATAAGACGTATTTATTTTACTACTCATATGAATAATGTTGTATGAAAACTTTTGGAATAATGTGAGCAATAGAGTGCATTGCAATTATTGCCATTTAGTACACCAGGACCAATTTCTCATCTAGCAGTGAATGCGGTACTTAGAGCTAAGAACCTTATTATATATCTTTATAAATACACATACATATGTAAAATATCATGTAAAATGTTAATGATTTAAATTGTTGGTGGGAAAAAATTGTGTAAGACAAATTAATTTAGTTCCTTAGGTTAGATTCTCTATTTTTGTATACGTTTTTATTAATAACAAAATTATAAGATATATACTTAATTTCATATCTACTTTTAAATATTTTACCAAAACTCTATAAAAATGATTTACTTTTTAATTTATCAAATTGTCTTCTTTATTATGTTTTTTTTTCAAATCAGTTATTTTGTCACCAAAGATATTCCTAGTGCCTGTATTGTTTTATGTATGTATATATAAGTTATTGTATATTATAATGTTAGAATGAATAAAAGTATGTTATTATGTATTATCAGTGTTTTATTTATTAGGACAAGTTACTATTTTCTTAACACATTCTGCCTTTGGTAGATGTAAATAAAATATTAAAAGAATACTTACATTCTGCTGCAAATAAATAAAGCACTTTTCAAATAGATATAGTGAAAAGTGATTGCAATGCGGTTTAGTGGATCTTTGGATCTTTGATATAAATATTTCTTTTCTTATGCAACCCGTATCTGCCCCCTGATATAAATAAGGTCTCCTCTGTGTATTTGGATTTTGATATCATTTGGGTTCAGATCCTTCTCACTACCTACCTTGGCGATATCAACTTGACGCAAACTGTGTTTAAATATCTCTAGCTAATGTAGTCAGGGCCGTAAAAACTATTAAAATGAAGATTGCCCGCTTGAGGTGAAGTAGTTAACATACCAACTACAGTTTTAATGCTTATGTCAAAATGTATATAGAATCTTTTATAATATACTACTGGGTGCCAGCGCGTGACTGTATATGCGTGGAAATATTGGTTTTCCATGCAAACTATAAACTCCCATTTTCCCCGTTTAGGGGGGTAAGTTTTGGATAATCTTTTCTTAGCGCACGCTTGCATCATAATAGCTAAATGTGTGCTAAATTTCAGTGCAATCCGTTCAGTGGTTTGAGCTATGTGTCGATAGATCAGTCAGTAATGGTTGCTTTTATATATAGAGACTAGTGGCCCGTCCTCGCTTCTCTTCGGTGTAGAGCTGTATGATGTTTTAACTAAGGAATTTAGAAGATTAATATCGCCATCAAGTAGAGAGGGTCGTACTTAGTTATTTTTAAGGCTGGTTGGCCTACAAGCATGATAGCCTCGCGGGTCTGATCCGCATATGGTTACTATACCTACCTGTTTAGACCTTTTATAAAGGCATAATGGTTTATTTAACATCTTAGAACTAGTTTTCATTTGAACCTAGAAGTAAGCATACCAGCAATATGCGTAGTTTAATACGGTTTTTATTTGTTGGGATTTGTGTGAACATCGCTTTCGGACGTAATGTGTCGCATAACACTGCGCACGCAAATGGCGGGGAACTCAGTGAGTGCCACATTTTCAATTATGTTTTCAGGAAAATTATATTTTATGATAATATTTTCACTAAAAAAAACAATGGAGTAATACTGATTGACACATTTTTTGTCTTAAGTATTTTTCAGTCACATCAATCTTTTACATCTTAAAAGATTGAATGCTTCGGTGATTTGAGAATAGAATATTTTTATTTGTCTTAAATGTTTTTACAGATATTCAGTCAATAATTATGAGCAATCTTTACTTATATTACTAATAGACTATAATATGACCACAACTGAGACTACAACAATGTCGACAAACAATTTGACGACCTCAGTAGCCGAGTGGTTTATACGCCGGGTTTTATGGTGTCGCCGACTCGAGAGATCCCGGGTTCGAATCCCGGTGGAGGCAGGTGTTTGTGTGATGAATACGAGCATTTGTACTCCAGTCATGGATGTTTAATATGTATTTCTATACAAATATACTTATATATCTACAGTATATGTATTCTATCCGTTATCCTAGTATCCCATAACACAAGCCTTACAGTGCTCACTTTGGGGCTAGGCTAGGTGTGAGTGTTGGAAATATTTATTTATTTTATTTATGTCACACAATATTTCAATGTCGCACAATATTTCAAATGTCACACAATATTTCGAATGTCACACAATAGCATTTCCGCTACTGAATAAGTTAACATATTCATAAAGATACAAAGCGCATTGTTTCACGCCATTATAATACAGGAGTTCACGCTATCATTTTGAATAGTCATCACATTATTGAAACGGACGAAAAAAAACTTTGCTAAAGCCACATCGAGTACATTAGACTTAGTAATTAGCGCCATCACACCATGTTTGATATTTTGCTTTCCATTCCTAGTCATCATTTTGAACCAATAATAAATAATTATGGCGTGCATTAAGGGAGACCTATGTCCAGCAGTTGGACGAGCTTGGGTTGATGATGATGATGAATAAAATTTTCTCTAGTACTCTCCACGGTACTCGTGATTTTGTGCTTATACATATGCTTTAGATTTTTACCTAGTGTGCAGAGCAAAACAAAATAGAGTGAGTATTTATTTATGTGAAACATCTATTACGGTAGGTGTAAAAGCTGCTGTTGAGTGGCAAAGCTCATTGGCAAATATATACAAGCTTGAGCGGACAGCTTACAATGACCATCGTAATTTAGTGAACATTTGTAAGGTTACGAAATCACGGTGTGATTTTCTCCCGCGGTCGCATAGCTATTTTATTTAAAAACTCACGAGTCTCGTGACTTCCGATTTTGCGCCGGCCGGTGAGTTCATAGCCTAAGACTTCCGTTGGTCTTATCGATATCGATACAGAGATACTGTTGCACAAACTTAATGATATTTACTTTGCTTTTACGTTTTAGAAACTGAATTCCGATTTTTTTTTCGCGTATAGGTAAACCAACGATATGCCATTACAGCGACCCCAACGTGGCAGACTGCATTCGCCGCATGGCCGAGCAGGCGCGGCACGTACTAGCAGCAGGGGTACCGTCGCTGGGCGTGCAATCTTTAGAACCCCTTAAGGTGCCCAGCATCCGGTTGCGACAGCATAATATGCCCAAGAACAAGTTTAAATACGACGCCTGGCTGTCGGATTTGATGCTCCGCGGGCTTACGAACTACAGCTTCAATAATTTAGAGTGAGTACTGACGGTAATTTTGTAATCACCATTAAGTGTGGGAGTCTTCTCTGTAGGCAGAATCATGTAGGAAGAACAAGGCAAATACTAGTGGCTAAGGTGCCTCCCCTGGACGAGCAGTCATTGGAACTCTTCAAGGTGCCCAGCATATGGCTGCAGCAGCATAACATGCCCAAGAATAAGTTCAAGTATAACGCCTGGTTCTGGATTTAAGGCTCCGCGGCCTTACGAATTACAGTTTTAAAAATTCCACGCAGACCAGGCAGCAGACGGCACTCGAACCCGCACCCTTCGCTATCCGGGCGAATGCACTGACCATTATGCTACCGCGGCCCTGATGGCCGTGTCGAATTTTCTCTAGCCTTGCAAGGCAGCGCCATCTCTTCGCATTGTAGAGAACCCACAATATCAAATGAATATATTTACACGCATTAAACATTTGAAAGAAGAAATAGCAATTATAGATATATTTCTTTAGGTTTAAAACATCTAGCAGTTAAATGCTTAAAAAAATTAAAAGAAAATATACATAATTATGAAATTGCTCTATCAGTGTATTCCCGGAAGACTTGAAAGTGACGGCGAACATCAGTCTCCCGCGCTTGGAGGTAACAGGTGAATACGTGGTGCTTGGACAGTTCCAGATGCTTCCAGTGGAGTCCACAGGGAAACTGTCAGCTAATTTTAGTAAGTTTTATTCTACTTAACATAAGAGAATAAATTGAATACTTGTTTTTTGAAATCTTTTGACCTCTTATCTCCTGCAGCTCAACTCATGTAGTGTATTGTACACATTTTGCATAATGTGGGTCAAAAGTTTTTTAAAGCACCCTGAATAATAATAGCCTTTAGGCTTAGATTAAAACAAAAAGGGAAGATACTAGCATCAAATAAAATATGCTCCGACTCAACTACATAAGCAACTCGCACACACGCACACGTCTGTAAATAAACATTCAATCGAGCGAGCGAGACGGAACTGTACGCTTCAACGCAGCGCGAGCGAAACGGCGAGTCCGCGTCCAAATCCCCCCGGCTGAGCTGTATTGTTGTCCTTTTCTTGATAACAAATGGTTATTATGTAAATAACATTCACGACAAACCGTGATTTTTGAGAAAAAATATTTTATAGTTTTACGAATGATAATTAGTGTTGTCGTGGTATTTGTTATTTGATCTTGAACTATTTGTGTTCTTTATAAAAGCATCAAAGGCATTGTTTTATCTTTATAACACAAAATATACGTAATATTGTTGAAGCGTACAGCTTCAACGCAGCGCGAGCGAAACGGCGAGTCCGCGTCCAAATCCCCCCGGCTGAGCTGTATTGTTGTCCTTTTCTTGATAACAAATGGTTATTATGTAAATAACATTCACGACAAACCGTGATTTTTGAGAAAAAATATTTTATAGTTTTACGAATGATAATTAGTGTTGTCGTGGTATTTGTTATTTGATCTTGAACTATTTGTGTTCTTTATAAAAGCATCAAAGGCATTGTTTTATCTTTATAACACAAAATATACGTAATATTGTTGTATTGAGTGCACATGCAGCGTGTTTGAATGTCCAATTGTGAATTAAGCGAATTGTGGTCATGCACCACAATTTCAGCGGTTCACTTTTGAACCACGAGTGAAGTATCTTCCCTTTTTGTTTTAATCTTAGCCTCAAGGCCATTATTCTTTTTAAAGAATCCAAAACTTCACTATCCTAATAATAATCTTTAGGCTTTTAGGATTTAGATGTCATTGTGGTAACTTATTAAGAAAAATTCGAGGAGCTCGATGGCGCAAGTGAGTAGCGCGTTCGGCTGCGATCGTTGAAGTCAAGCAACTTTCGCATGTGGTCGGTCATTGGATGGGTGACCAAAAAATTTACTATCTCGAGCTCCTCCGTGCTTCGGAAGGCACGTTAAGCCGTTGGTCCCGGCTGCATCTGCAGTCGTTAGCACCCACCAATCCGCACTGGGCCCGCGTGGTGGGTCATGGCCCAATCTCCCTATTCCATCCATAGGGAAGGCCTGTGCTCCAGCAGTGGGGGCATTAATAGGCTGATGATGATTAAGAAAAAAGGGGTTTTTCCGATTTTTTAGACAGTATCATTAAACAATAATAGCGCACTATTCCTCCCATATTAACAAGTTTAGTATTATTATGAAGTGAACATACATAACTTCTACTATACCTACGTGTTGAAATTTTTATGTATTGAAAATGATAATTATCATGTGGACCATGTCACTATAAAACACACTATAAACAGACTTCTGTTCAAGGCTTTCATTATGTATGTATTTAATGCTAAGAAGCCCTTTATATGCTGTTGTTGTGACTTTTATATTTATTTCAACTCAAGTGGGTATTCAATATACCATAAAGCGTACGGAAGCAAAATTTTATTACCTACTAATATCTAACTAATAACCGATTTTCAAATAGAACGACTGCAGAGGCGGATTCGCCGAAATCACTTTTCCGTAAGATTTGAATTTCATTTCGTTTATTTTTTTAATTTTACCAAATAACACATATTTTTTTCAGTGTCATATATGTACATGCATATTTTATTTGTCTGTGTATTTTAAGCTTTAAATAGGTATTTAGTTTTTACAGATCCATTTAAAACTAATAATTGTTGTAAGTTTTGTAAAATTTTAACAGTAACTGTTGCATGTAGATGTGGCTGTTAAACGAGTCTTTATATAGTGCACTTTTTCTCAGAACATTAATATTAATGGTTCAAAATTTGGAGGAGCTCGACGGTGCAAGTGGTTAGCGCGCTAGGCTGTGATCGTTGAAGTTAAGCAACTTTTACAGTGGTTCGTCATTAAAGTCATCCAATGGGATGGACAACCAAAAACGTATTATTTTGAGCTCCTCCGTGGTTCGAAAGGCAAATTAAACCACTGATCCTGGCTGCATTTACAGTCGTTAGCGGCCACCTATTCTCACTGGACCCTCGTGGTGGGTTATGGCCTAATCTCCCTGTTCCATTCATAGGGAAGGCATCAGCTGTGGGGGCATTAATGGGCTAAAGACGATGATGATTATTAGAAATGTGCCCTGGTTTCATGTAGCAATGTGCACCGCTGCCTTAGAGGCGTTGGGTGCTCGTGTGCACAAGCGCATGGTCATCAAAGACGCCACGGTGCGTCTACGCTGCTCCGGGCCGCTGCAAGCTAGCTTGGACGACGCTCACTCCACTACCGGGGAAATGGGTGAGTATATTTTCTTAGCACCATCATCAATAGCAGCCGTTGGTACAAAGAAGACAGTTTTTTTTATGGTAAAAGGGTGGTAAACAAGCGTATGGTCGGGCTGGAGGTAATCAGCCATCATAGCCTATAGACGCTCGCGATACTAAAAATGTCACTCACATCGTTGCCTACCCTGACCCAAACCTCTACCCTGTGGAGCCCTGAAATCTTACTCACTGACAGAAACACAACACCACCAAAAGGTAGTGTTATTTTACTGTGATCTTCTGTAAGGCTGTTTTTGTCTTATTTGTAAAGGAATAGAGGTTGACAATGAGGGACTGCAGTCCCTAATACAGCACGGTCCAGTGACTTTATTGATAACAGTAACATAAAAGTATGCTGTTTTGCTACAGTCTTCCGTGAAGTGGAGAAGCTTTCACAGACGTGAATTCTTGACTTCACACATCATCGCGTCTTTTACAATGTTTTACAATGTTGACTTTATGCTAGATTTGCAACATGTAGAACAATCAACTCAAACATTGAGTGTTGCATCGTAATCCAATTGCTTAAGCTCTTTTAAGATCAATTTTAAAGAGCAGAGATATACTTTCTCACTTAGCGGCTTCATCTAAACTAAGATCCATTTTTTATTCTGAGTTTAGATATTTATTAAAATAAATGCCAATTAAAGCACACAGTCTGCTTCATAGTAAGCGATCACCATGAATTGTGAAAGTCTGCGCTCGAGAGAGTAGAGGAGAGTCATTAGCCTACCTAGCTATAAATGTCCAATAATGTAACGCTAATATTTTTTAGAGATGGTGACTGATCATATCGCCATGATGCACTCTGAGGAGATCTTGAAGGAGGTCCAGCCAGCGGTGGAGACGTCCCTCGCAATGGTACTCGAGGACATTGCCAACAAATTCCTGAAACACCTACCGCAGGAGATGGTCTTCGCGAACTAGACCTTCAAGTCAGAAACTTATAAAATATATTTAATATGATAATGCTTTTGGTCCTTGATCTACTTCTAACTTTAATTTATTCAATTATTTATTTATTTATTACGTCTAATTACTGTCGTAGATAATTAACATTTACTTTAACATGGTCCCCCTGATAACAAAACGAAGACTAAACTTAATCATGGACTAAAGCTGATGTCGTCACTTTTGTTATTTAAAAATAGGACAGAGACAACATCAGGTGTAAGCTAAGATTAACTCAAGTCCGTGTTTGAGAATAAGGAGGTTAGTGTATTATTTGTATGTATAAGTGTAATATGTAATTAATTTACGTGATGTCTTATAGCTGAATTGTGATTAATTAGTAAAAGATTCATTTGCCTTTGCTTTAAGGTAATAATAATACCTTAACCCCTTTATTAATAAACTGAGATTACGCTTGGATTAGTAACTTCATGTTTTGTCTCAGTCTATTGAATGACAATGGCATTAACAAAACACGGCGTAACTAGTCATAGCTTATTCCTTGTTTATTAATAAGGGGGTTAAGATTTAAAGTAACAATGTTAATTTTCGACAAGGCGTGTCTTATTATGATTAGATTCTATTATAAACCAAGCTAATTAGATTAGACCTAAATGTTTCTAATTAATTGCTACTCCTATTACAATAATTGCCATTTTTTCTGTATCTATGTCATAATAATCTCATAACTCAAGCACAGCTCACAGTTAATATTGTACAATATAATGTCGTCGATTATGAGGTGCCGGTTTTGATTTCTGCCCCTCTAGCATGACCACCGAAACGGGATATGATAAAGCGATAATTCTGCATTAACTGTCAGACTGCTATGGAGTTTGACAGTAGTCTGACAGTTAATGTCGATACATCGCTTTATCATATCCCGTTTCGGTGGTCATGCTAGAGGGGCTGGTCCGACCGAAATTGGTAGAGGATGTTTCAATTTCTCTATAGCAAATCTTAACAGCTTTAATAATATTATATGCGATCATATAAGGTATTTTATCTTGTTTATTATATATTATTAACTTAATACTGTAAAAATCATTTTTTTATGTTACCAAAAGTGGGCAAAATGTGAACGGAAAATTGTTTTATTGTTTTCTAATTATCAATATTTTATAATGTTTAATTTTTTTAATCTTATCGGTCAATCATCTTATTGTAATTAATAACTATTTCAACAATAATGACTAATGTTACAAATACCATTGAATTTGGTACTAATTGAGTTTGATGTCTGCACAAATAGAAAATTTTGTTTTGAATTAACTAAAAATATAAACAAAAGTTATAAGTATAATATTTTTATTTTTTAAGGTAACTTATATATTTACTCACCTTTATTTGACTTATATATTGCGATAAGTAATAAATTAAAATACAGAAGGTTACACCATGAAATTTTATGATTAAATCGTAAGAAGACGTTATTTTTTAATACCTGAATTTTAAACATTATTTATTAATGTTCAATTCAATCCATAATAAAAAGATATATAAGAAAGTATGACATTAATAATATTACTTTTAGATTTTTAAACAAGGACCGTTATTAGATATATTTTATTTCTATAGCGCTATTTCTACTGAAAAGTTCAGCAGTTTGTCATTAATTACAGAGGGCAAATCAAAGAAGCATGGTGCGTAATAATTATAATATTAACATAAATTAAAGTATTTAAAACATTACAGCACCACCCACCGGACAAGGTTGTGAAATTAGTCCAGTAGCTTAGGAGAAGTTCAAATAAATATACCAGCAAAATTTAGGAAAATCATTAATATTAAGAATAGAAAAGTACGAAGTATTAAAACAAATCATGTTTAAAGTTTTGACTATCAGTTGTAACAAACTTGAATAAAGGTTGTCTTTTTTTATTTTGTTCCTAAGTCCTATATTGTATTTAATAATGTTATCCATTCAATACTTGGTTCCTTTTAATGATGAAAATACTGCCTTGTTCTAAATTAACGTTATGCTTTAGTTTTTAGCAATCCATAAAAATGTGGTCATTAGCAGATGATAAAATAATTGCTAAACAGTACGAACTTTCATCATACTTGATAAGTTTTCCCTAAATTTTGTTTTTGTGAAACTACAATTCTACAAAATTTGTTCAGTGTGAAAACGTATTAGAGAGACCGATACTTTATTTATATATTTATAAGTATTAATAGAAAGTAACTAAACGAAAAGAACCAAGGCACAATATTAAGGAACTTCTTCGTTTTACTGGTAATATTCAAATGATCATGCATTATAGAGTCTTACTTATTTAATATAATGATTTTTTTCCTACTATAAATACATACCAAGTATATGACTAGTTAAAACAAGGTGTATCAATTATGAGAAAAAAATGTTTTTTTACACTTAATATGAACAATAGAATTTACGAGCGATTCAAACATTGAACTCTCGTGATGTAATATCACCGTGGACTGTGATTAACTCGCCGCGCTTACAAAACTGCAAACCTCAAGTATCTTTGTTGCTTTCGAAGAAAAAATGTTCTTATGTTTTAGCAAAAGAGTTCAAATTTAAACGTCGCGGACTTTTCTAGGTCGACAAACTAAAATGACCGAGCGGCATTAATAGGTGCATGCCACGCGGATTGCACCGTCACCGGCTCGGTTTCTATGTAATTTGGGATTTATTAGTGTCAACAGAAATTATTCAACAGCTCCGGTGTCAACGCTTGCCACACTTTTGGCTGGTTGACCTTGCGAACAGCATTATGCACAAGTGTGTAACTTTGGTCGTGTTAAATAATAAATCATTGTTTATCATTAGGTATTTGAAATTTTATTACGAGAAGCAACACTTACATAACAATATTGCAATGACCATGAGCTTTATAACAAGGTCTTGGTGGTGCGATTTGGATAACTATCCATTAGGCTTTTTGTATCTATTTATCCGTCCGTTTGTCAGAAGGTTGTAGGGGGTGTAAATTTAATAAAATGAATTACTTTTCGAACTTTTTGCTCGAATATTAACCGCTTCGGCATGAAAAAAGAAAAATATTTTTAGAATATTTCAAATTTGATAAGCATAAGAAGCTTTAAGAGCTATAGTCCCCGACAAAACGAATTAATCAAGCCTAAATTCTATGGGGTCTGGATTGTTTTAGTGAAGAGTGAACATATTAACTTTAAGAAAGAGAGTTCTTTATTGCATTGCTTTGTCATCCGATTGCATCAAATAAAAACGAGAGAGATTGAAATTGAAAATTAAAATGGAGGAGCTTAATGGCGCAACAGTTAGCATGTATTTGACTGTGGAAGTTATCATGTTGTGATTAGCATATTAATTGATGAAACCCCCGAAACATGTAACTATGGTATAATTGTGGTCACTCAAATCTACAATATAAGGTTGGCTGTCGTAATGACCGGTCATCGATGATGGCCTTTGTCCTAACAGCCGGACATTATAAGGCTTATGATTGAGATAATGAATACCTAATGGTTGTCTCGCTGGATTTCGAAACCTAAAAATGCATTTGTCTGGGTCGCCAAAGACACTTTGCATAAACTAAGATTTGAAGTAGAAAAAACCAGGTACAAGAAATCAAACAAAGGAGGAGAACAATCAGGGGAGTAATATAAAATCTTGCACTACTCCTACAATTACAGTCAATCTACGCGTTAAAACCCTAGGACTCTTCTTAAAAACTATCCAGTACGTCCCAGGGACAACCTGAAAAACAGGACATGTCTGAGGAAAACATACATCACATAATATGTCTCAATAGCTATTTCCTAATAGTTTACTCTCGTCTATCAAGAGGACTTGCAATCCCTTAGATAAGGAATCACGCGACTCTTACAAGATTGTTAAGCACGTCTATCATCACGTATAGGTTTCTATTTAAGAATAAAAACAAAATTTATCGGGATTGTTTAGTGAATCGAGCGCAATTAATTAATTGTTAATTATGTGGAGTGTGATTTGGTTACTTGGGACGGTTTCAAGCGTTTTCGGTGCTGCAGGAAATGGGGTGATTAATTGTAAGTAACAATAATGTAGCATATAAAACTATTTATATTTTAAAGCGACAAGGTTGAATCCTGATGGTTGAAAAAATAACGTAAAAGGATTTGTCTGTAAATCGAGGGAATTTTTCGATTTAGTCCAGTAGTCATGTCTTTCTTTGGAGTTAATTTTTTTTTGAACCAGTACTTTATCTGAATTCGAACATGTGGTCAGAATTGTATTTTGCGCGCCAGTGCGCATTGAGCAATTAGCCTATATATCATGTCCTATAGTACCCTACCACAGCAAGTGTCTATTATGAAATAATCTTAAAAAAATCTTAATATCGTATATATTAAAACATATTTCTACAAAATTAAGTAATTTTTTCTCTTGATTTTAATAAAATTATAATATTTTTCCTTTTCAGTTGGTGGTTTTATGTGTCCACGTGAGGAAAAAGCACTGGGTGGCTGTCTCAAAGATGCTTTAAATACATATATCCCACAGCTGGCCACAGGTCTGTAAACAATATTTAGTTTATATTTTACTTGGTAGGATGTTATATATGAGATTATATTTAATAAATAATTTTAATTAGGTGTTTACCCACTTTACTGACTCATGAAAACAAAAGAAAATATTATGACAGCTCTATGTATTTTGCCAGAAGTTTGACCATACGATAATAATATAGTTTGATAATAATAAAAAAATAATATTTTTAGCAAAAATTAGTAAAAATGATTTTATTAGTAAGGCAAGATATTGGTATATTTAAAAAAGGGAAAATAGTACCAATAAGTTAGTTTTTCATAATTAAAAATATGCGTAAATGCGTGTTATTTGAAATTTACGTATTTAAACATACCAGTATCAAATATAATTATATAAATTATATGTATGATAATAGTAGGGTAATGATGTGTGTGTAATAAGTTTCCAAAATAGCTAAAATACATACTAGATTGAGTTTTAGATAATCTCATACAATATAGTTTCTCATACAAAAAATATGGTATTTTAACTAGCGGCCGCTCGCGATTTCATCCGTGTTTCCTTTGGTTTTTTGAGGATCCCACGGGAACCTTACATTTTCCGACATAAAATTCCAAATGTCTCAATCAAGGCCATAATTTATATGCGTACCATATTGCATCCAAATGCGTTCATTAGTTTTTGTGTGATTGAGTGACAAACATATAAACTCTGACATTTATAATATTAGTAGGATTTGTTACACACACAAGCATCGGTAGAAAAATTTTCTACTTGGGTTATTGTGGCATATTTAGTGATATTTTACTACAGCATTATGCTGGGGTAGGGTCCTGATTGTCCATTATCATTGTCTGTGTAATAATTTAGTGTATGTTTTTTATTTATTTTGTTTGTGTTTCAAGACATTACGACATTGGGAATCCCTGTTTTGGCAAATGCTTGTATGATAAATTCGAATACTTGTACCGAAGTCTTGGATGTTTTTAAGTATTCTATTGTGTATTAAATAAATCAGTTAATGTATGTATTCTATCCGTTTGCCTATATCCCATGCATGACAAAAGCCTTAGGTACCTAAGGCTTGTGTTATGGGATACTACAGTGTTTACTTTGGGTCTAGGCTATCTGGTGTGAAGAAATGCTCATTTATTTATTAGGAGTGCCCGAGTTCGGTGTGCCGCCATGCGAGCCTCTGTTGGTGCCATCCCTGTCCGTCCAGCAATCCACTGGACCAATATCTGTGACGTCATCGTATTCGGAAGTAACAGTGCGTGGCCCATCCACGATGCGCGTCAGAGACGTTAAGTAAGGCAGCACAATATTTTAACTTTAGTTTTAAGAAATGGGAAACCATTACAGGGCGCAGCACGTCAAAGGTTTATTAATTAACACACTTCTCGAAAATTCTCACGTCTTTAAAGTAACTCACGCAAATTCCGCTGCTCCTGAGATGAGCAGATTAGTTACTTAAATATATCGAACTCTTCCATATCTTGGAAGGCCCGTTATTCCTTTTTCTCTGCAGTATTTAAGAGAAGAGAAACTCATTTTATTTTAATGCAGGACACAATGCATTAATCTTATTTTCTTAAAATCTTAATCGAGTCTCAATCCTCTTTATATCAATGCATACAAATGTATAGTCGGCAAGTGGTGCAAAATTTCTACAATTGATTTTGATTTAATCTTTTTTGAATGAGATTTGATTTAATGATCTAATCTATCTTTAAGGGTGGACGCGAAGAACCAAAAGGTGATAGCCAAGATATTCATCCCTGAATTGAGAATGAAGGGCCATTACAATCTGGCTGGTCATCTTTTGATGATTCCCATCGAGGGCGAAGGCAAATTCTCAGCAAAATATGGTAAATATATATTTTGTTTATGTTGAACAAGCGTATGGCCCGCCTGATGGTAAGCGGTTAACACAGCCTGTAGACACTTGCGATATCAAAATTATCGGTGCCATCCCGCACCGCGTAATGTTACATTATTTATGAAAAGAAGTTTCACTTCTGATGTGTGGCCAGTGCACACAATATTTTGATATGTAACATCTTTCCTCTCGCTTTCCTGCAATTTGTGGGAGTGATTTTGTAAAATGGGAGGGAAGTGTGTAGCAGGAAGTCGCGAAAGCGCGCGCTATTTGATTTGATTTTAGAACATAATGTTCAAATGGCTTATTCCTTTTGTAATAGGTTTTATTTCTTTTTTACTAATATAAGGTAAGGTTTAAAATGTTACATATCATACGCGACTACTGTAAGGCTCGTTCATTTTTTTTCTCTTATATTTTCGCTTTTATCAATTTTTCCTAATTAAAATTTAACTTCGGTTAAATTTTCAACAGGTGACATTAATGTGAACGTGACGATTGTGTTGGGACGTTTGCCTCGCGCTAATGGGAAGGACGTCTTGTCTTGCAAGCAACTCGATGTTAAGTTCCAAGTGGGCTATGCATCTGTGGAACTCGAGAACCTTTCCGACAGTGATAATGACTTGGGTAAGTTTCATTTAGGTATTATTACCATAGGCCTCTTACGGCGTCGTCAGTCGAATTTCATATGCTTAGTGACGCCCTTGGGTAAGTCTCCCTAGTCTGCTGGACAGGAGGCAACAAATTCGTCAAATTCATTTTGAACTGCCTCTTGGTTATTGAATTTTTTCCCCGCTAAGAACCGTCTGCTGTACAGCATGAAGTCGCGCGTTGTCGAGCAGGATGAGCAGCGGAACCGAACGATTGACCAAAGCTGGTTGAACTAATATACAGATATGTACACATTGTCGTAATGAAACCTTATTTGTCCCAGGTGTGGCAATGAACAAATACCTCAACGAGAACTGGCAGAAGCTTGCGGACGAGTTACAAACACCCATGGAGGATGCCCTGCATGACTTCCTGAAGCCACTGGCTGACCACGCCTTCGCCACCTTAGACGCCGACGATATACTATTACCTTGAAACATCGACCAGGGAACCCTTTTCCATCACTGACAATGTTCTTCGTCCTTTGCTTTAATCACATAAAAATTTACACCTAAGGGCGCTCGTTAACGAGACGATTTCTACCTGGGTCTAGTCACGGTTTTAAAACATATCTACATCCGGTCGTCAGCTAAGGTTTGGGACACTATGGAGGTTTGTTAACGACATCGACGCTACCAACGGTTTGGGGTCGGTGAAAACGTACAAACCGTGCTCGTGAACAAGCTTAGTCTTCACTATCCCGGGTAGAAACCATGCTTAGGCCCGGTGGAAAACCGGTCTGTAACAAGTATTGTTTGGTCCCAGAAATATCAGTACATCAAACACTATATTTCTGATATCTAAGATTTAAGTTAGTTAAATATTTATATTTATTTTTAGTGTATAAAATAAATTTATTATTTATTATCTCGTGTTGATTAGTTTTATTATTTATATCACTTGTATTGAATAGGTAGGTCGTATCTTTTGTCTTTGATTGAATTGTCTTAAGACGGTTTTTACTGGGAGTTAAACAACTACAATACATGTAATAAGGTATTTTGATTTTCTTTTAAATCTAAGTCATGGATGTGTTTGTTTAACACACAACCTAGCCCCAAAGTAAGCACTGTAGGTTTGTGTTATGGGACTAGTATCCCACAGGTAACAGATAGAATATATATACTGATACATATATAAGTATATTTATATAGAAATACATATTAAATATTCATGATTGGAGTACAAATGCTCGTATTCATCACACAAACATCTGCCCCCACCGGGATTCGAACCCGGGAGGCCTCTCGAGTAAGCGAAACCTTGAAACCTAGCGTACATACCACTCGGCCACGGAGGTCGTTTCTCATCTTACTGTCCAGATTATGGCAGCCAATAATTGGTTGTGAATTTATAGTGTTATTTAAATCATGAATAAAGATGTTTCATAGTAAAAACAAATCAGATGAATAAAATACAGCTAGCAATTCATAATAGCATATGTAGGTTAATAATAATTAATTCAATTTCTATGCTTAATCTTATTTATTTTACATAAAAAGTGTCATCTAAAATTAATTGTACTTTCACTACACTCTATTTTTAGTGAAGTACATCTAGTTGAGACTACATAATAATAAAATCCAACCAACAAAAACATATTATTGATACAAATATATCGAAAGATCACATTCAATGTTACACTTTTTAAGTAATTTAAAAACTAGTTTAGGTACTATTTTAAGTTCAATAATTAAATTTGGTAACTTAAATAAAATAAATAAAGCTTAAACCACTTACAAATTAAACAATCTTAGCGAAACTTTAAAGATCCTTATTGAAAACCTTATAACATTAAATAGTTATTTATGATATTATTGCAGTAAGTTGGTTATTACAAACGAGTAGACAACTGTAAGCCCGAGACGAAGTCCAGAAGCTCTATTTTTGATTCGCTCGCCTGAAATAGTATAGTCGAATGCGACCTCAGTCACTTTCGACTTCCAAGTCGCATAATACTGATTTTCCGTATTTTTGAATCGTTCATCTACAGTGTTACTAGTTTAATACAAAATATTTCTTTTTGTTAATTTCACGGAAAAAGCTAAAAAGCAGTCATTGCCGCTGTGAAAAATGAACGTATGATTCTCAATAACTGGTTATTTAATTTTTTGCCTTTTTTGTTAGAAAAGATCAAAACGTCGCAACAAATCGTCATCTTATCTGAAAAAAGATTGATAAAATATCTTGAAAATATCTGACATAAAGACAAGTATTCTATCATTCGCCAACGCACAACGAGTGGTCGAGACCGCTCGTTGACATCGAACGATTCAAATATACGGAATTTATTATGTCGAATCAAAATTTGTTTAAATCGAGCGTTCGACGCAAAGCGAGTGATTCAAAAATAGAGCTTCCCATAGTCACGAGTAAATACCAATTCCGCACGAATGTCATACCTACAACGTTTTTCAACACATTTGCAAGAAAACAGAAGCTAATTTAAGTAATGAAGCCAACTTTTTCTTATAAGAAAATAGTCCCCATTTCCAAATGGCGTCACGTCCGGGTGGTGAAACTTAGAACTACATCTTTTTAGTATTAAAGTGAGACAAAGGTATAGATTAAGAGTGCTTCCAAGGAGATTCGACCAAAATAAAAAAAAAACCGCAAAGAATCCTCACAGCGCCATGTATGGAAGCGTGCGGTAAAACGTTTTACCGCACGCTCCGTTGTAAGGCCCGTAATTTTGAACTTTCGAACAATGTATACAACCTCCGTAAATACATTTTTGAAAAAATGCATATCGCGTATAGAGATATTTCTGTAATATTTTATAGGAGGCACGGGACCGTATCATATTCAGAAAATCTATAGGAGAAATAAGACCGAGTGCATTGCGAATCAATATGACACTGTCCAATATGATAGAGATTTACAGTTACTCAGACTTTGTAGAAGGTTCTTACAGAAAAAATGTTGTGTTTTTATGAAACCACACCACAAGTGAAACTCATAAAACCATTAAAAGAAATTATTTCTGGGCTGGGATTCAAACCCGGGTCTGAACTGAACCACTTAAGCTTGTTGTTAAATCCTGTTTTTTTTTAAATAACAATCAAAAATGCAATGCGTCCTATAAAGATAAACAAACGAAATTTTGGCAACGTAATAAAAGTTTCACATTAAAAATAAGAAATTGCAGAGAAAATTAGAAAACTTAACGAACAACTCCACCCTATAGGTGGCTTTGCAGCCTGATTTTAGGGACTTTTGGTATTTTACTGGGAAGGATAACATCTGTCGGGCCCGTTAGATATAGGTAAACAGAAAATGGTAGAGGTAAAACTTTAAGGCCTCCTTTCTATTTCTTCAAGCCTCATTCTATCTCTATTCGATTTTAAACTAAGCAATAAATATAAAGATACTGCTAGATGTTTAAATCTAAAGAACAGTTTTATTAGAAAAAAATATATATGTTAATATTATTAAACTTTTTTGTTTGACTATACTAAACAGCTTCAATAATTTGATAGTATCCAAATTGTCAGCGATAAATATATTAAAATAAACTTGTTAATTCGGATACTGTGTGAATTGAATTTTGAATCGTGTTTTGGGTTTGCTAGTTATAATTAGATGAACATGAAGAAGGCAGAAATTCAACGTTTAAAGGTTTATAAAATGAAGATGGAGATGAAATAATTTTAAGGTTCAAGCCAATTGTCCATTGGAACGTTGGTGAAGAAGTTGAATAACAATTCTAAGGTTCGAGCCAATCGTCCATTGGAGCATTGGTAAAAATTTTGAAGACCAATTCTAAGGTTTGAGCCAATCGTCTATGAGAACGTTGGTGAACATATAAAAGAATAATTCCAACGTTTGAGCCAGCCGTCCATGGGAACATTAGTGATGATGCTAAAGAATAATTCTAAGGTTTAAGCCAAACATCCAATGGAACATTGGTGAAGGCAGCATTGAGGAAGGCCTGGAAGTGCTTGGCGATGGCAACGGAGGCGGCCGGTCGCATCTCGTCGATGATCTCCGCCGCGTTGTTGTTCAGGAACTGGTTCATTGCTTCACCTGCAATTCACAAACGATCATTTTGATTATATGTATTCCACGAAAGGTAGCGGCATGGCTGTGTCACTATCATTGCTAGGCAACAATGATAGTTCTGATAGGGGGCTTCTCGCACAGCGTTGCCAGTTTCTTTTTTTGCCAAATCTGGATTTAGGAACTTATTGAGTGAAAAAAGCGGGATTCTTTCGTCAAAAGCGGGACATAGTAGAAAAACGTATAATCAAAAGTTATTGAATATTTATTTTCATTACGCGCCACTCCACACTTGTCTGTGCCATCCGCCCGCGCTTTCTCAGTATGCTGAACGTACGCATGGTCGAGTTATTCCCGAAAATCTAAAATTTTGATGTAATAATCGGGACGTCTGGCAACGCTGCCCTCGCATGAGTTCCGCGATATGAATATATTATATCGCGGAGCTCATGCGAGGGCAGCGTTGCCAGCTCGATTTTATCATGCTGAATTGTAAAATTAGTATGGAGTTTGACAGTAATATTCATGCTACCAGGATTGATGTCAATAGGCGACGGTGACCACTTAAAATTAGGTGACCCGTCCGCTTGTCTGCCTTCGAAGGCAATAAAAAATAAGGTTTATTTATTAAGGTTCGCTATATATTAAAACATAATTTCAATCCTATGCGCTAGCTTGGGTGCTAACCCAAGCTGTGAAAAAGAGCGACTGCTTCCACAACAACTGGCAAATAGGAATTGGCATGCCATGAAATAACAAAAATGTCAGCAACTTGTGGTAGAGAAAATAAAATTGTACTATTACTATTATTACTATAACAGTTATACTATGCATTCAATTTTTATAAAGATAATTTTGTCTTTAATATGTGAAATTATACAATAAAAAGAAATACGTGGTGGTATCTAAAAACTCAATGGTTTGTCAATACTAAAGCAAACACAACATACGTAGTAGATAATTAGGCTGAATGTAAATGGGATATTAGTTACAGTGAGATTAAAATTTTATGGCGGTGATGAAGTTATTAGCGAGCAGCAACTTTGTGTCGTGACTTGCGCTAACTTCACAGTTACCATAAAATTTGACTCGCACTAGTTCGGGTTTCAAGGTGTCGCCTACTCCTGGGTTCGAATTCCGGTAGGGCAAAAGTTTGTGAGATTTATGATGAGCCTTTCTTTCTAAGTCTTGATTGTTAATTTTGTTTGACTAGCAGCTGGCCTGCCATAATGCTCAAGCTCAGCGCGATAGTTGGTTCGTCTGTTACTCACCACTGATACTGCCGTGGTTGATAGTGTCGCGCACCGGGAACCCCAAGCCACGCAGTTTGAAGTCTACCAGCAGCCGGTCCGCCATCATGAACGGCAAGCCGCCGCTCTTGAAATTTTTGCGATGGTTGGTCGGTTTATTACTCACCAATGATACTGCCGTGGTTGACAATGACGCGCACCCGGAATCGGGAGCCACGCAGCTTGAAATCCACCAGCAGCCGGTCGGCCAATATGTAGCGCACGCCGCCGTCCTCGATCTCCTTACCATCTTTGCGATGGTTGGTCGGTCGGTAAGCTACGTGAGCTTGAAGTCCACTAGCAGCCGGTCTGCCGTCACGTAGCGCAAGCCGCCGCTCTTGAAATCTTTGCGATGGTTGGTCGATCTGTTACTCACCAATGATACTGCCGCGGTTGACGGTGTCGCGCACCCGGAATCGGGAGCCACGCAGCTTGAAATCCACCAGCAGCCGGTCGGCCAATATTTAGCGCACGCCGCCGCTCTGGATTCCTTACCATCTTTGTGATGTTTGGTCGGTCGGTAAGCTGCGTGAGCTTGAAGTCCACTAGCAGCCGGTCTGCCATCATATAGCGCAAGCCGCCGCTCTTGAAATCTTTGCGATGGTTGGTCCATCTGTTACTCACCAATGATACTGCCGTGGTTGACGGTGTCGCGCACCCGGAATCGGGAGCCACGCAGCTTGAAATCCACCAGTAGCCGGTCGGCTAATATGTAGCGCACGCTGCCGAGCTCGATCTCCTTACCATCTTTGCGATGGTTGGTCGGTCGGTAAGCTAAGTGAGCTTGAAGTCCACTAGCAGCCGGTCTGCCATCATATAGCGCAAGCCGCCGCTCTTGAAATCTTTGCGATGGTTGGTCGATCTGTTACTCACCAATGATACTGCCGTGGTTGACGGTGTCGCGCACCCGGAATCGTGAGCCACGCAGCTTGAAATCCACCAGCAGCCGGTCCGCCATCATGTAGCGCACACCGTCGCGCTCGATCTCCTTGCCAAAGATTTTTGCGATGGCCGCCACGTCGTCTGCGATACAAACAACGTATTAGAACTAGCATAATTATTATTCATCATTCATTCAATCATACCACGCCCACTGTTCAGTAAACATGCGTTAGAAACTCCTCTGCCTAACCTAGTCTACATTTGACCGACCAGGTCTTTTGTACATCCATTTTATAGATATAAAAAATAAAGTAATATGTTTATATTGCTAAAAATTAAATTACTTATAATAAAATATTTTGGACCAATTATATGAGTGTGTTTATGTAGTTTAAATACTATGCAGTGAGGACATTGATAGGCTGATGATGGCTGACGATGTAAATCTAAGTATGTATAGTCAAAACTGAGTATATAAAGGAAGTAAGTATCCTTCATTATTTTATGTAAAATGAGTGGCAAACAAGTATATAAATAACCATGTTACCATGATTATACAATAGTATTACTCGCGCCGATGATAACCTTGCACCTTTCACCACCAACCCTAGAACGTAGAACCATATTCACTGATAAAAACAATACCACCGAAAGTTATTATTATTTTTCTGTGATTTTCTGAAAGGAGGAGATTACTTCCTGAAACGGCGCTCGAATCCGGGTAGAATTTCCGTTAATGCTTTCTCTAAGTGATCGAACCAGGAATGAGGAAATCCGTAGAAGAACGAAAATACCAAATATAGCTCAGTGGATCGCAAAGCTGAAGTGGCAATGGGCGGAGCACATACTTCGGCGAACCGATGGACGTTAGGGTCACAAGGTCAGGGGAACCCAGTGGATGCGGAAAGAAAGAAGGACTATCATGCATGGAAATCCTTAGAGGAGTCTTTGTGTCCAACAGATGTCGTCCATCGGCTTATGATGATGATACCTCGCTTAAACGGAAAACCAAATAACACTATACGTATTTATTAGTAAACATTTACAGAGAGTAAGGTTTCCAGAGCTGCCCGGGGAGCGGATGGGATAAGTTTAGAGTAGACAACTCTCAAATAGAAGCCTTATTGTTTTTAAATGAAAATGTTTAACAATACAATGATGAAGACATCGTTCACATCACAACTTCGTTTCCCATGTCGCCTTTTTCAGTCTTTATCCGAGGGCACGTTAGTGCCCCGCCAAAAGAGCCTAGCTAAACAAGGACACACCTGGTGTAGCGTTGGTTTTTAAACAGGGCGTGACACTGACACACGTAGGACAGCTGTTGTGTCTATGATAGCGAACCGCTTACGTCGGCGTAGCTGTCAAACTTCATTGATTGGGTTGGTAGCATTGAGGAAATAGTCGATTTTTCTATTCGACTAAAATATTCGCCTTGAGACTTATAAAAAAAAAAAAAAAGTAATCAGGCAGTGAATCTCTGTGGGGGCGCGTGGATGAATGGATGGAGTTTGACAGTTGTTGAATTTTGAATAGTTTTTCCCATATCGATTTGAGTCCTCCTTATCGGGCGCTGTTTTTAATCGATTTTGAATTTTACTCGAAATTGAATTTCCTCGCTGATTTGGGTAGGTATTCCCTTTTCCTCAGCTTACGGCGAGCGTAGGTATATAGTTTTGAGTTTATTCTTCGGTTCGTCTCGAATGCGGCGGCTGTCTGTTTGACTGTGGCCTTTGCCTTCAGTTGGGGAGAGAAACAAATCATAGACACATATTTGGGAGTAGACGACCCGTCTATCATCTATGAGCAATTGTCAAAACAACATTTAAAATTTCACAATCTGTTTGTGGTACAGTTATCTTTTCATCGTTTCTTCTGCCCAAAGTATATTATAAGGCATGTTATAGTCGTCGGAGTCGTGAAATAGATCCGAAAAGTTTATATCCTGAAGGATATTAGCGGAAATAGCGCGGAGTCGCTAACCGAACTGAGTTTCGCAGGTATATTATATAGGAAATCTGTGGTTCTACCAATATATAAATCAGGGCAAAAGAACTCTATAAACAATTACCGTCCAATTGCTATACAAACCTCATTCTCTAAAGTTTTTGAGCGAGTAATAAATAAACAACTCATAAGTTACCTAGAGTCAAGGAAATTGTTGGCTGATACACAATACGGTTTTAGGGCTGGTAGATCTACTGATGATGCGGTTCATAATTACGTACAAAGAGTTGTGAAGAAACTGGATGAAAACCAAAAGGTAATTACAATATTCCTCGACCTCAAAAAGGCATTCGATACTGTAGCGCTACCTATACTTCTAGACAAACTTGAAAGGATGGGAATTCGTGCAACTCAGCTAGATCTGTTTCGTGATTACCTATCTAATCGTTCACAGATTGTTAAAATTGGTAATAACAGCAGTCGCGAACAACCAGTCTGCTACGGAATTCCTCAGGGGAGTATCACTGGCCCGACTCTATTTTTATGTCATATGAATGATTTGTCTAATTTGAAACTAGAAAATTGTGAAATAACATCCTATGCAGACGACACTGCACTAACTTTTACGGCAGATACTTGGGAGAAAGTTTTTAATCTTGCACAGAATGGCTTTGACACCGTTAATAAATGGCTTTCCTCTAACAGTCTGACATTAAATGCAGAGAAAACTAAATACATTTGTTTCTCTATTCGTAATTGTAGCATACCTTCAAATCTAAAGTTATTCGCTCATAAATGTTCAATCCCACCTTTAACAACATGTCAATGCCCAATTATAAACATTACATCGCAGATGAAATATCTCGGCGTAACAATAGACAAAAATCTTAACTTTACAGAACACATACATAACATTTCGCAGAGATTAAAAAAACTTGTATTTGTATTCAAGCAATTAAGACATGTAGCAGATAGAAAGACCATGAAATCTGTTTACATAGCCTTAGCACAGTCTGTGATATCATATTGCTTAACATCATGGGGTGGAGCAGCAAAGTCAAAACTAATCGAGCTCGAAAGAGCACAGAGACTGATCTTAAAGATATGCTTATTTAAACCTAGACTTTATTCAACTACAACTCTATATCAAGATGCTGAAGTCTTGACGGTTAGGCAATTGTTTGTTCTTTTGAGTATTCTTAAGCAACACGCTAACATAAATTATACACCGCTTACCACAACATCCAGAAGACACTTAAATGTATGTATAGTTGAAAGTTCACGCACCTTGTTTGCTAATAGATTTTTTTACATGATAGGGAAAAAATTATACAATTGTGCAAATAAAAAATTTAATATATATCCCAAAAGTAAATATGAAATTAAAAAGATAATAACACACTGGCTCCTCAGCAAATCATATGATGAAACTGAAAAACTTTTTGTAAGTTAAAGTAAAGTAAGTAAGTTAAAAATTTAACGCACAAACACACACACGCAAACACATACACACACACACAAACATAAACACACTATCACACACACATGCACAGTTTTATGATTTCTATTTTAAATTTGTTTCTACCATAAATAAAAATATACATATACCTATTAGGTTTTTATGGAGTGTTTTAAAATTGTATCGAGGGTTGGAGGCCTGGAGCTCTGAAATACAGGTAGACTACTGCCTAGTTTAGACTCCAGTCTCCCACAGACACGTTAATGTATTTATATAAATAACCTATGTTTACTATGATCCGTTTGATGTTTGTGGAGAGAAATAAATAAATTATTATTATTATTATTATTATTATTATTATTATTATTATTGGAGTAACTCTTTTTCCTACTTATTTTGCAAGTTGTGGCTATGAAAAATAACCTTTCTGTTGATATTCTGTATCGTAGGTGGACGAACACGAAGCTTCGCAAGGCGTTGCAATAAGGCAGTAACTTGTGATAGGAAACAAAATACTTACGGATAGTTTCATATTTCGAACGGTAAGCTATCATCTGACCTCATATTTGTTCTCCTAGCACTAATTGAACTGCATTATGCACGATATGGTGATTATTGTCATCAAATATACCTAATCATTCTTGTCAAGTTAGTGAACATGAAATTGATTTCCTTCAACCCGGTGGGATGGGCCCCAGTCATGTAGGGATTCAAATTTAAAAGTGTAAACATTGACCGTGAATATCCCTCACTCTACCCTACCCGCCAGTGATGCAGATGTGGTAATCTATGTATTTTCCCCATATCTGATCATTTTTTTTCAATGTGAACTTCAGGCTTGTACGTTCCCCTCAAGAAATACTGGAGGAATAACAAGGAGACTCTTTCTCTGTACACGGACCAGAAGGGACGCGGGAGTTTATTTGCCAGCCGCTCTCCGGTTTTATGTAACCCGGCCGTAACAGCGGACAGATTATACACTAACCTAACCTAACCTATCCTAAACAAGGTATTTTCATTACTAACCCCGGGTGAGCGTGGAGAAGAACCACAAGGCGAGGTTGGACCCCGACCTACCCATTTCCATATATATACATATATCTATATAACTAGTTATCTCACTGAGAACTGGAATTAACTAAGTTTGTCACCAATATCGATCAAACGAGCCGTAGAACCTCTGAAATCCACTAAATAGCTTATTCAGTCTAGTCTATGTGGTCCCCTTAATGGGCAGTGCATTGCAGAGTGGATAAAATATATTAGATATAGTTGAGAACTCATGTAAGTACATGGTAGAGTGTTATGAATGTCTGATATTCATATAATTATAACATTTCATGACAACTTGTTGATTTATATAAACTTTAACTTTAAACTACTGTATTCAGCTTAGATATTTAGTCAGTAAAACATAGTTAAAACGTTTCATGTCAACTTGTTGGTTTATATAAACTTTAACTTTGAACTACTGTATTCAGCTTAGATATTTAGTCAGTAAAACATAACATAACATTAAATGTTGTTTTGACAATTGCTCATAGATGATAGACGGGTCGTCTACTCCCAAATATGTGTCTATGATTTGTTTCTCTCCCCAACTGAAGGCAAAGGCCACAGTCAAACAGACAGCCGCCGCATTCGAGACGAACCGAAGAATAAACTCAAAACTATATACCTACGCTCGCCGTAAGCTGAGGAAAAGGGAATACCTACCCAAATCAGCGAGGAAATTCAATTTCGAGTAAAATTCAAAATCGATTAAAAACAGCGCCCGATAAGGAGGACTCAAATCGATATGGGAAAAACTATTCAAAATTCAACAACTGTCAAACTCCATCCATTCATCCACGCGCCCCCACAGAGATTCACTGCCTGATTACTTTTTTTTTTTTTTTATAAGTCTCAAGGCGAATATTTTAGTCGAATAGAAAAATCGACTATTTCCTCAATGCTACCAACCCAATCAATGAAGTTTGACAGCTACGCCGACGTAAGCGGTTCGCTATCATAGACACAACAGCTGTCCTATACGTGTGTCAGTGTCACGCCCTGTTTAAAAACCAACACTACACTGGTCTACTTTTTATCGAAGCGCTTCGTCGTTTTTTTAAACCTTATGATTATAACCAGATAAACAAAATTCTCGGGATATGTTGTCAATAGCGGGCTTATTAAACATATATAAAGTTTTAATTGGCTAGTTCCGATTTCATTGATACCTAAAAACACCCTGACTTTATCACTGACACACTGATGATCATCAAAATTCTTAAAAATATATAAAAAAAACGTACCCACCCTTAAACTAGGTGATGTATGAGACTCCAGCAATTTTGAGGAAAATAGAGGTCTGAAAATTTATATAGAGACCCAAACATTTTCATGTTAAATGTTGCCAAGACGAAACCATATTATATTATATAGCTCGCAGTGTCAAAAATTTACTATTATTAAGCCTTTGTAACATATTACAAAGCACCTTATACATTATTCTCAGTAATATATTACGTGCTATCCAAAGTATTGCACATCCTATATCTCATTGGAACAATAGCAATTGTATCGCGTAAAAGTTCATGATACGACCCCGGATCAGTATGTCATAGTACTTAAAGTCATGGACTGATAATCACAATCCATACTATTTTTTCCTCTGCTTTATTTATATCGTAACACACATGATTGTGGTATGTTTTTCATTTTTCTTAAAAGTTTTAACTGCTCATGAGTATTTTATGTGGGCTAATTTTTTGTTGTTATACATAAACGATATAATTTGAATCTTTTTTAACAAAATGTGGGTTGCTTATGTTTCATGTAAAGAATTTACCTGTCTGTATTTGTATTTTTTTATTAGTTTATATTTTTTGTAAATAACTTTTGTGCCCTACCTTTTCTATGTAGTTATTTCTATAAACACATTATATACCTATATATATAAAACTACTACTGATAAAGAAATATAAACACCGCAACTACGCATAGTCAGTCTCGTGATTGATTAACTTAGAATAATGACTCGCACTATAAAATAATAAACTTGAAAACATATACATATACTCCTAAACCCAACCATTCGAAACATGTGGCATGTTGAAAGTTTCTGGATTTGGCCACTCACAATAAAAGAATGAAAAAGTAATTATGGAATTCGAAAATAGAACTCATAGGGAACATGTTTCTTTTTATTTTGAGTGTTATTTGATTTTCCATTGTGGCGACCTTTCGAACATTGTATATTTTCGTTAAATGATTTTTTTATGATTTTCGCTGTGGCTTAAATCAACAACAGAGTTGCTAATCACATTAATTGGCATTTGGTGATGAATCTCCATATCGCAGCTATGTGTATTCGTTGTTTGAAGAATTTTGACATGGACGTGAGATCAGCTCCAAAAAATTCAGCATATTCGTGCTCTGTTAGACATTGGAATGAACCAAGTTCAGAACATTTTACATGTGTATCTGCGAAGGTTTGTATTTGATGAATCCCACATGACTTATTTTACGTGTTAAACTAATTAAAAATATTTGGGCGTGGACGTAGCAAACTTTATGCATTAAAGCATTGCCTGTCCCTGACATTACTCATGAATTAAAGATCTTGTAGAAGTCTCACCTTGCAGCTTAACTGAAAATTTTGAAGTGCGCGAAGACATGATTATTGACAATAATGGCTATTGGATGCCTTATTTAAAACATCAAAATATCAACAGAAATCCTAATTCATAACAGTTTTAAATTTACAAGGTTTCCATTAAATATACCGGTCATCAATATCTAACTGAAAATTTAAACATTAGTTTAAAAAACTTCTTCGAAAAAATCGATATATCTGTAATGGCCAAATACATGCAATTAGTGGCCGGCAAAAGTTGCATGAAACCCATATCTGTCATGTCTTGTGACCAAATATTTTTTTATTGCCTTTGAAGGCAGAGGAGCGGACGGGCCACCTGATATAAAGTGTTCACCGCCGCCCATGAACATCAGAAATGCCAGTGATACAGTGATCAATGCCTCTTTTGCTGGCCGCTGCAGTAATGTTTTATAATCTAAAGCCTTTTAAGAATCTCTGGCAGACCGTCAAAGGTTCTTAACTCAAAATGGTTTAAATAAGTAAACTGCACTTACTGAACGCTGCCCAGAAGTCACCCTGGGATCTGACGGGGAACAGAAGCACTTGTCCGGAGACTTCGTAATGGCCGGTGATTTCTATACGAGGCAGCACCAGCCCCATGTCAATGCGCAACTTTTTCAGATCCGACCTGGAAGATGTGAAGAGGATGGTGGTTAGTTGGTAGTGAGATAAGGCAGTTGTCCGCCGGCGAGATACCCTGGGAGGGTATCGTATCGGAGAAACGTGTAATATAATATAATAATATACATTCCCTGTTAACAAAAGAGATGCATAATTATAACGAAAGCGAGAACTCTTTCCACTAGTTTGTCGCTGAGCGACAAGTGTTATGCAAGATAAAACTCACTCAGCGATGTTCACTTGCCTCAAAATGCGCAGTGCTTAGTACTGTCAACGCGAGCGAGTGGTGCGAGAAATGGGCCGATGTTCTCGTACACTCCCTCTGCCCAGCGATAAAACATCAGAGCTACACACTCGCTCCCCACTGCTCGCCAAATCGTTTCTAGTTTCTAGCTCTACTTGCATCTCGTTCATCGTCGGCAGTGGGTATCGTCCTTATACAAGCGCTAAACTAGAAGCTCGACGAAGCAGTAGTGCAGCGCGATTGTGGAATTTCGCATTGACCGGTCATAGGATGGGTGACCAAATATTTATTAAATCTATCTCTCTATATATCTTAAAATATAGCTCAGTCACTCCTTGATAGCTAACACGCCCAAACCAAACTATTACTGAAGTCGGATAATGTCCACGTTTATACTATGCTGACTGACTGAGAAGCTTCTATAGAGCTTCGAGTATAAACTCGGTTGTTTTGCTTGTTAAAACATTTCTCAATAGTAAAAAATCATGTCAGTTAATAAAAGTTTTCTATGACCCTGAGTTTGCGTACCGCATAAAAAGTTCTTTTGATTTTGTCAACTTTATATTTTTTTAATTTCCAGTGCGTCTCATAAAGGCTCCCAAGTCATCTTTTATAATACGTGACATGGTTTTAGGTGTTTTATTCATCTATATTCATAATCGAGATAAAATCTTTTGCGTGCGAATTGTACGTGGAACGGCACTTTTTTTGTCACAAATAGATGTTTCATTGTACCTATCAATAGCCCAATATACAAACATTCGAGTATTACCTACTTACTTTATATAATGCTATCATAGCAATTCGTTTTTCTTTATCTTCCACACTCCATATTTAACACCAATGACGCGAAAATGAGAAAACACAATGAATAATTCATGTAATCAGTATTAGGCGAATTTTATGGGTTATGGCTGTTCCTCATCTGTAAAGTGACGAAAAACTGTATGGCTTGACCTTGCCTTAAGAATGAGAGATTCCAAATTCAAATGAAAAGTAATAGTTTTTAGTTGCGTACCTCAAAAGGTAAAAACGGAACCCTTATAGGATTACTTTGTTGTCCGTCCGTCTTTAAAGACCGTTTTTTCAGGAACGCATAAAGGTATCAAACTGAAATTCATATCTAATACTCAGGTCTACTGTTGCTTATAACTGTGAAAAAATCTAACTTCTAAGCGAAAGCAATAAAAACATACAGCCGTTTATGCCGAAAATATCCGAAAATTTTCGAAACTCGCAAGGGAATCAAAACCTACAGGGTTACTTATAATCTTGAAATTTGGTACGAAGTAACGTCTTATAGAACAGATAAAGGAAAAATTGCGAAAACCCTAAATTTTTAGTTGCATCATATAATAATAAATATTTTTGAAAATTTTAAAGTTTTCTCATGAACGCGGAGAGGTATTAAATTGAAATTCATATCAAATACTCAGGTCTATAATACCTTTTTTTTTAAATTATTATATACGCACAGTTTTAATAGTATTTATGGCTTTAATTTGTATTTATTTATTTATGCATACATTAGTACACTGGTACGCTGCAAGTCATCACTTAAGACATTGTTAGTCTTCCAGTGCTGGTTTCGCAAGCTCTCAACATTCCCCACAGACATTAGCCAACTATGTGCCCATAACAATTCGAGGTAGACATATAAGATTGCCGCTATAATGCTACCGCGTTGAATGGAACCATTTTAAGACGCCTTACTGCGGCCTTATGCCTTATTACTTTAGAATTACGATAAGATACCTCGTTACGAAAATGTTGTGTCACTTTGTAACTGTCGCCTCACCGTGGTGCATTGCGTTTAGTCGGGGATGGAGATTTGCGATTATTGTCATTATCGACAACTATGCTTTGGTAATTCTAATATCTTTTTGTTTTGTTCTCGCTCTTTATTATTTAGCCAAAAAACAAATTTTTACCACACTCTAGTTTTATTTATTTTGGTTACATGGAAAATAAACAGCTAATCTTAGTAAACCAGAAATGAACAGTAGCAACAAAGAACCAATTACAGCTCCCCCACATCTGGCATAACTTAAAGTTTAAAAAAAACTATTTGCACTGTCCAATGTAAGAATACTCTTAAATATAGTTTTGTAAATGAGGTCCTAATGATAAATAACTGAAGATGTTGCTGAAGGTAGCGGTGACCCTGACTGGTCCGGCCGAGTTCTCCATGATGAGGCGGTCGATTAGCAGAGTGGCTCCACCGGCGGCACACCGATGTCTGGCAGACCGCGCGCTAAGTACGGCCAGAGGTGGTTCAAAGAAGATTTGATGCACGTGTTCAGCTGAGGGTCGCTCCGGCTGCACGGTATGATGCACTCCAAGGGTTTTTTTTCATAGTCATTATCTCACCTGACTTTAGTGACTGTATAATAGGGGTGATGACGGGGTACAGTAAACGAAATTTTATTTAGTCCGTCAGTTAGATGATCAAAAAATAATGGACAGGTATTTTCTTTGGGCAATCAACCAAAAAATAACAAAGTTATAGCGCGTCAAAGTTTGGGAGTAGGGGCTCGTGACGTCAATTTTAAGTGAAAATTGTACCAAAACGTGACGTCATGCGACTTTTCAAATGAATATATTTCTGCAATGTTTATATTATGTGAAAAAAGAAAAAATACGTGTCCAATACTTTTTGATAATCTACCTGATAAACGAAGAAAAAAAAATAGTCATCATCCCTATTACTGGACCCGATCACGGTGATGTTGCTGAAGGCAGCAGTGACCTGACTGGTCCGGTTGAATTCTCAATGACGAGGCGGTCGCTGAGCAGGCGCTTCACCGGCGACAATCCCGATGTCTGGCAGCCCGCGCGCCAAGTGGTCAAAGGTGGTTGGTTCAAAGAGGACTTGATGCACGTGTTCATCTGAGGGTCACTGTGACTGCACGGTATGATGTACTCCAAGCGTTTTTAGCTTATATAAATTTTCTCACCTGACTTTCGTGACTGTATAATTGCTGGGCCCGATCACGGTGATGTTGCTGAAGGCAGCAGTGACCCTGACTGGTCCGGCCGAGTTCTCCATGACGAGGCGTTCGATGAGCAGCGGTTCCACCGGCGGCACCCCGATGTCTGGTAGACCGCGCGCCAGGTACGGCCGAAGGTGGTTAAACGAGGACTTGATGCACGTGTCCAGCTGAGGATCGCTTTGGCTGCACGGTAAGATGTACTCCGCTGAAAGACGAATAGAGTTTGTGTCAATTAAATATTTAAATAGTGAGATCAGTTCCTTCGTCATTATAAACACTGGGTTATTATTACTCCATTGTTGAGGCATCGACTATGCATCGTACTAACTTTACGTTAGCATCATCAGCCTATTCCCCACTGCTGGTTCTTCTGGAGCACTGGCCTTCACTATGGATGGAATAAGGAGAATGGGCCGTGACCCACCACGCGACATGACCGACGCTGCCAGAAGGGGAGTAGGCATACATGTGTGCAGGATTTGGCAATAATACATCGCCTCGTGTCCTTATTTATGTGTGAGTGTCCTTGTTACAGTTTTGTTTTATGTGCGTGTAAGTTAAACTGCGTTTGTACACATATCCTCAGACTAAAAGACTATGACACGCAATAACAATTTTCAGCAAAAATCATCAAAATGTCAATGCTTTAAAAAACACTCCAAAAAACCATAAAAACTAAATCTATAAAAGAGGTCGGCAACAGTTGCTGCGTTTTTAAAGTATTTATGGGTTCATAGAATACCACGAAGTATGTAGTGATGGCGGCAATTTGTTAACGGAGCTATACGTAATGAGGAATGACTTTATGCAAAATGAGTAATAAACAAGTATAATATGGCCCGCCTGATGGTAAGCGGCCACCATAGCCTGTAAACGCTTGCTATTATAATAGAGTAAGATCCTAACCCCGCCATACCGTACTTATTTTCTGATGGACAAAATATGGATAATTGAGTATGTACTGTTAGTATGTACAATTATCTTATACATACTCAATAACTCGATAACGATAGCTTTGGGTCAGTTTTCGGGTTCAGCTGGAACAGGTATGTAAAAATTATACTAACTTAAAAAAAGCCTGAGTACTAATTCTATATGTATGTTGTAGAAAATGTCGTAAACGATTTGATATTAATACTGCCAGACATATTCTGTTAGCAGTTTTTATTGCCAGACACTTTTAATGTAGAAGCTAAAAACACAAACTTACAATCTGGACCTGATATTTTTATCTATGCTATTTAGGCAACTATTTTTATATTTTGTAAACTGTCTGATATCTAAAATGGCACTGTGAGAAAGTTAGAGAGTATGTACAAGTTCATTGTACACACTAATACTACTTGATTATCCATATTTTGCCCATTAGAAAATAAGTAAAGTCTGACGGGCTTGGGATCTTGACCTATAGACTCTCTACAGGAGGAATACCCACCCGCCTTAGGTTTTTTAGGCGAAAAAATCTGTTGAGTTTTTTAGTAATATTAATATCGTATTATTAAAAGATATATATACTTAATGCAAAATATAATAGATTTATTAACGCAGCTCTTAATTACTAACCAAAATGTACTTTAAAATATTAACTCTTACCTAAACAAAAGTTATCTCTTAACGTAACCTTTTGTAAGGTAAAAATAAAACAATTTACAAATTTATTTTAGCTTTTGCAAACTATTGTACTATTCTTAGCACGTGGATTGTATAAAACTTATTTATATTTTTTATTTCATAAGCATTTAACTGCTAGATGTTTAAAACTAAAGAAAATTTTACTAGAAAATATTCCACGCGGATCAGGCAGCAGACGGGATTCGAAACCACACCCTTCGGTATGCGGGCGAATGCACTGACCATTATGCTACAGCGGCCCTGATGGCCGTGTCGAATTTTCTCTAGCCATTCTTAGGATGCAAGCCAGCGCCAGTAGCCTTCGCAGTGTAGGTAACCCACAATGTTAAATGAGGCCATGAGAACCATAGTGGCGCCTAACTATTTTTTTTACAATATTGGGTTTATGATTTTTTCCAGTTCAAATTGATCATTTCGATAGAACCAGAGTGGTTTAAAAGTGATAGAACGAATATTCACTAGATGGCAGTATAATCACTGTTACGGTTTTTAGTCTGTGATCTAAATTTGAGGTGCCATACTGGCCTAAGTAAGATAAGCTACTATGGTTAAAAAATGAGTTAGGCCACTATGGTTCTCATGGCCTAAAATGAATTTCTTTATAAGTATTAAACATTTGAAAGGAGAAATAGCAATTATAGTTATATTTTTTATTTCTTAAGCATTTAACTAGATTTAATTTTCTTTAGCCCCTTTATTAATAAACGAGGTAAGTAATAAGTTTTATATAAGTTAGTCTAGTTACGCCGTGTTTTGTTCATGTCACTCAAGTGCCATTTGTAATTCTATCAAAAGTGACAAAACATAGATTAACGGGGTATTAAAAGGGTAGATGTTTTAATTTAATTTTCTTTAGATTTAAACATCTAGCAGTTACATATTTAATAAATAAAAAATAGAACAATAATTAAAAACTCATTTAATAAAGCACTACTGCCAAACAAAATTAATTAAAATTAGTTGATTAAACTAAAAAATATTATAACAACAAAAATATTTTTCTACTAGCACAGACCTAACGGCCGCTTTTTACCTCGAGCAGAACAATATTATGAAAAGTCGGACAAGAAGTGATCACATTTTTCACATTTTCGATTTCGCAATTTAAGTTTTCTCTACTTTTGTGTATATTGTCGTCCTCAAATACACCCAAATAATCAATTAGCCTTTTCATATGCCTTTTCTTAGTGGAAAACAACGTTCCGCCCAGCTTTTCCCACTCATTCTTCCTCCTCAGTAGGCACAAGAGTCTTGTAAGAACATATGAAACATAGTAGGCAGTATGCAAGCATTATGTAACCCACAAGTGTACCAGCGGGTGAACAGAACCGGTCTCGTTGGCAAGGTGATGTCGCAAAGAGCGATGACCGGTACTTTCAAATATGCGCCATAATAAGCATAATTATTATAAAAACACTTTTCTCCCCCATTTCAATAAATAAACAGAATAAGCGCAAACTAGTTACACGGCGTTTTATCTATGGACCAGTCTTAAGCACGGGAGGAGACGTGCGAAGGGACCATCAAACCAAGGGACGAGCGGCCGCGGCGGCGGAGCGGAGACACACTTTCTTAGGCCGTATACAGAAAAAAAGTTGGAAACCTTACTGGTAACACATAAAAGAAGCAGGTTGAAGCGAAGTTGTTCATTAATTTCAAAGGGCGGTGCCAGCGCTGACCAGCGCGTGTCGGCACTTGTCGGCGCTTATCGGCATTGATCCGAAACGCCTGTTACCGGTAAGGACCAGCGCTGACAAGTGCTGACGAGCACGGCTTCCAGCTTTCTTTCTGTATACGGCCTTACGCTCCACGCACAGCTTCGCATGGGGCCCAACCGCGTTCAGACTTTATATTTCAACACCATGTCGCTGTTTGATATCTATTCTGCTTGTTACTAATATACTAGTTTTACCTAATCGCAGTCCACGTTTTTTAAAGTCCCCATAGGACCCTTATCCGACCAAGTGTTAGTTTAACAAATACTACATTTTATCAGTGGAAACATTTGCGGCAACAGAAAAAAGTAGGAAATCAAATTCAGTGCCCAAGAGTCATTTACACTTAAAAGTAGCGAGAGTCCTCGTAACTAGACAACTTCTGAGAACTTATAGAGACGAGAAATGTAGAATAAGTCGCTATTGCCAATAAATATAAAAACTGACTAGGTGTAAAATGTAAACAAAAGTTAAATAAGAAAATCACAATAGTTTGCTTATTATTGCAGTTGAACTTGAACGGGTGAGTCCACTAGCCGCCGTCGGGCGCTTGCGCACAAGGCCATTCGGCCGTTACATAAGACAGTTGCCAAACTGTGTGTGGCCGGGGTGGCCCAGTGGCCTGCTTTACGCACATTCTTTTGTGAGCATTTAAATAGTGATCGAGCTATATTAGATGGTTATTATATTCATTCATTGACTTGTTTTAACAACGACTTTGTGTTTTTAAGTACTTTGCGTTGACGTGACCTGTGTGTGACGTCACTATGAACACAAAATTTAAAGTAAATGTAGGGAAATTCGTCAACGGTACATCAATGTCATTGCTGATGGTGTAAAGACGTTCCCTACCTAATACAGGAGGAAGGAGATTTTACATTAGGATCTCACGCATCTCCTCCGGCCGCTCCCTCCCACCGCAGAAGGACAGGTAGAGGAAGGCGAAGGCTCGCCCTGGCTGCGCCCGCCCAGTGGGGGAATCCCTCGCTGCCCGGCATGGCATCAGCTATTCCGGTCACCAACGGATTCCGTAATGGCAACCCTCCCTTGTACCTCTGTCCTACATGAGAGGACCGCGGAAGGCCTTGTGAGGGGAACGCCTAGACTGTCCTTCCTTAGCGGACGGGGAGCGGTGCGGTGGGCAATAGGCCGCGCACTTAGCTCCCACCGCGGCGCTGTGCACGTCTCCAGGATCACCCGAAATACCCCGGGTGATCCCTGCGTGGAGCCCCGGCGAAGTCCCTCAACGGGGATATCGCGGTTCCGCACTTAACAGCGTAAAGGGTATTCGCGGGGTTTTAAGCGAATAATATGCTGTTAGCGCTCGTAAGCCGCGCGGAGTGCTTAACGGCTTCTCCGTTTCGCACCCGTGAGACTTGAGAGAGGATAGGTGTGAGGTCCGTTCGTTGGTGCGCCCCTTAAGGGCGCCAACGTCTAAAATAGAGGTTTTACCTGCGTAATAAAAAAAGGATCTCACGCATCTTGGAATGGAATGGAAAACTTAGTCTAGTAGATAGCGTTACATTTTTATTGAAGTTATACTTCTTTAGGCGCGTTATGAAAAAATGATGAGAGTGAAATTTTAAGATGCGCGCGCATCACTGTAACACAAAAAATTAACAGCTGCTTTTGTGTTTACCGCACTTTAAGAAAATCTACCAACAAAATAGAAATATAATCTCTATTTTGTGGGTGCTAACGACTGCATTGTGAAGGCCTATCAAAAGTATTTATTAATCTGGAACAACGGAACCAAAGCGCGATTCAGGAGACTACAGCGCCATCTCTTGACCATTGGTGTAGTAGAACCAAAAACCACATCTTTATTTTTTGTAATAAAGTAACAAAAAGTATTTAT